GGGTTCTCTATGAAGAAGTCCATGATGCCCTCATCTCTAGTCTTTAAATAATGAAGGCCCACTATAAAGAAAATGCATTTTACGGCGAGGCGGGTGGATCACGAGGTCAAGAGATCGAGACCATCCTGGTCAACGTGGTGAAACACCATCTCTACTAAAATTACAAAAAAACAATTAGCTGGGCACGGTGGTGTGTGCCTGTAATCCCAGCTACTCAGGAGGCTGAGGCGGGAGAACTGCCTGAACCCAGGAGGCGGAGGTTGCCGTGAGCTGAGATCGCGCCATTGCACTCCAGCCTGGGTAACAAGAGCGAAACTCCGTCTCAAAAAAAAAAAAAGGACTGAGTTGAAGAGTTTTGAATGTTGGGACGTCAGCAGAATGAGGACTCATGGGGAGAAGTTATTCTGTGCTATAGACACTAAATAATTTTTTTTCTTACAATAGGAAGTTAAGATCTGAGGAGTGGCTGAGAACTGGAGAAAGCAGGGATGCAGTGTCTCTCTGTGCGCTCCGGTTTTGCACGGGGCACGGTGGCCGTGTCTAAGCCGGTGCCGCTAGCATCATACACACGTTAAGAATAAAGGTAAAATGTTTGATAGCTAATTTCTATAGTTATGACAAATGCCCAGCAGATGGCAGAAAAGAGCTTGTTCTACAGGGAGAGCTGCATGGCTCTGCTTCTGCCTGACATTACACATAACCAATGCTTCAAACAAGTTTCTCTAACTGATATGCATCTTTTTTTTTTTTTAAATAAGCCTTTCTCCTGTTAGTGTGAGGATAACTTTGGTGGTTCATATGATAGTTCACACTGTCTGACTCTACTAGAATGGAATATTCAAATTTTATCATGGAATATTTTATTATTACACAAATCATTGTTGTTAGTCCCAAAGTATTACATAAATTGTGGTCCCCGTATATAATTATAGTCTCATTAGTGCATAGCCCGTTTTATCTGTTATACAATTTTAGGAGACCACTGTTTTCATCATTTTACCTATTGTTGTAACAGATTCTAGGATAAACAGCTCACATTATTACATTATTTTTTTCCAGTGTCAAGTGAGGTCTCCGTAGCATGTGCTGCGATGTCCTCCCTTTGGACAGGTGAATACTTTCCCACTGTACAGATGGACGCATTCCTTCTTCAGTGACACCTGGGTAGCTTCTACTTCTGAGCTATGGTGAACAACGCCGCAGTGAACGTGGGGTATGAGTTCCTGCTTCCAGTGTTTTTAACTGCGTCCAGAAGTGGCATTCCTGGATCATATTGTGATTCTATGCCTGATTTTTGGGGGAAGTGCCATGCGGTTTTCCTCGTGTATTAACAGCGCACGAGGGTCCCAATTTCTCCATATCCTTGGGAAAATGTGTTGCTTTGTTTCTTGATGGCGATGGTGTGGTTTTGATTCCCATTTCCCTGATTATTAGTGATGTGGAGTGCCTTTTCATGTGTCTGTTGGCCATCAGTATATCTTCTTTGGAGAAATGTTTAAGCTCTCTGCCCATTTGAAAATCATATTGTTAGTTTTTTGTTGTTGAGTTACGGCAGGTCTTTGTATACTCTGGATATGAACCTCTTTTCAGATATATGATGTGCAAATATGGTATCCTATTCCATAGGTGGCTGTCACTCTGTTGACTGTGACCTTTGAGGCAAAAACTGTGAGTTTTAAAATATGTATTTTCTTGGCCAGGCATGGTGGCTCAAGTCTATAATCCCTGCATCTTGGGAGGCTGAGGCGGGAAGATCACCTGAGGACAGGAGTTCAAGACTAGCTTGACAAGCATGGAGAAACCCAGTCTCTACCAAAAATATAAAAATTCACCGGGTGCGGTCGTGGACGCCTGTAATCCCAGCTACTTGGGAGACTGAGGCAGGAGACTCACTTGAACCCGGGAGGCAGATGTTGCAGTGAATTGAGATCACGCCACTGCATTCCAGCCTGGGCAACAAGTGCAAAACTCCGTCTCGAAATACATATCCCTACTACAATTTTATTTAGGTATAATTGAGGTACCGTAAACAGCATGTTATCAGTTTATGATGTGTTGTGTTTTGACATCCATGTAAACTTGTGAAACCGTCGTCACAGCGAACATAACGCGTCCCATCCATCCCAAAAGTTTCCACGTGGGTCCCTGCAACCCACCCCTTCCTCACACCCAGGCAGTCACTAATCAGCTTTCCGCTGTTATAGGCTAGTTGCACTGTTTAACACTTCTTTTTGTTTTGTTTTTTGAGATGGAGTCTCCCTCTTGTTGCCCAGGCTGGAGTGCAATGACACGATCTCGGCTCACTGCCACCTCCGCCTCCCAGGTTCAAGCGATTCTCCTGCTTCAGCCTCCCAAGTAGCTGGGATTACAGGCATGTGCCACCACACCCGGCTAATTTTTGTGTTTAGTAGAGATGGGATTTCACCATGTTGGTCAGGCTGTTTTCGAACTCCTACCTCAGGTGATCCATCCACCTTGGCCTCCCAAAGTGCTGGGATTACAGGTGTGAGCCACTGCGCCCGGCTAGAATTGTAAATAAATCTAACTGTACACTCAGTGTGTCCTCTCTCGGTGTGGTTTCTTTCACTGATAATTCCAATTTTGAGATTCACCCCTAGTGTCCTCTGGTTCAATAATTCATGTATTTTCTTGTTAAATATTATTCGGTTGGGTAAACATGACACACCATTTATCTCTGTATCTGTTAACGGACGCGAGCTGTAAAATGTAACTTTTTATTACGTGCAAAATCTTCCTGTATATGTGGGTGGGTTTTCAGACCTTTTTTTCTTTCCTGTTCTATTGATCTAACTTATGTGTCCTTGCTCAAGTAAAACACTGAATCACTGCGGTCTTAAAGCATTTTTTCTCCTCACTGTTTTTCTTTTCATTTCTAGTTTATTTCGTTTTATTTTTATTTTTTGGTGTGTGTGCATTTCCTTTTTTGAAGTTTAGAAGCTACTTAACACATTCTATTAAAATATCCCATTAAAAGTTCCACTGGAATATATCTTTCTTTCTTCCTTTATTTTTACCTAACACCCAGACTTTGAGGAGGTAGACTAGATCCTGCATCACTTTTTGTGTACGACCGTATCTCCAGGAATGGATTGTTTCCTTTTTCGTCACCACTGTACTGCACAGTACTTCCCATATGTTACATGCTCCCAAAGGATTTGCTGAAAGGGTGAATGAATACCTGTGTGGGAAGAGTATATGCCCAGGGAGAGAGAATACGGTAAAATACAGAGTACATGCCCATGGAGAGAGAATACGGTAAAATACAGAGTATATGCCCATGGAGAGAGAATACGGTAGGATACAGACATTTACTTTTCTGGAAAAATGTCCACAACTAATTGATAATAAAGGAATAGAAAAACCGGGTTACCTAACCGTAAGCATGATGTGGTTCCCATTTGCAAATCAGGTGCATGTAAGTACAGGTGTGTGAGTACAGGTGTGTGAGTGCAGGTATGTGTGCAGGCACGTAAGTGCAGGTGTGTGAGTGCAGGCGCGTGAGTGCAGGTGTGTGAGTGCAGGTGTGTGAGTGCAGGTGTGTGAGTGCAGGTATGTGTGCAGGCACGTAAGTGCAGGTGTGTGAGTGCAGGTGTGTGAGTGCAGGTGTGTGAGTGCAGGTGTGTGAGTACAGGTGTGTGAGTGCAGGTATGTGTGCAGGCACGTAAGTGCAGGTGTGTGAGTGCAGGCGTGTGAGTGCAGGTGTGTGAGTGCAGGTATGTGTGCAGGCACGTAAGTGCAGGTGTGTGAGTGCAGGTGTGTGAGTGCAGGTATGTGTGCAGGCACGTAAGTGCAGGTGTGTGAGTGCAGGCATGTGAGTGCAGATGTGTGAGTGCAGGTGCCTTCATGCAGGCGTGTGAGTGCAGATGTGTGAGTGCAGGTGCCTTCATGCAAGTGTGTGAGTGCAGGTATGTGTGCAGGCACGTTAAGTGCAGGTATGTGTGCAGGCACGTAAGTGCAGGTGTGTGAGGCGTGTGAGTGCAGATGTGTGAGTGCAGGTGCCTTCATGCATGTGCGTGAGTGCCGGTGTGTGAGTGCAGGTGTGTGAGTGCAGGTGTGTGAGTGCAGGTATGTGTGCAGGCACGTAAGTGAAGGTGTGTGAGTGCAGGCGTGTGAGTGCAGGTGCCTTCATGCAGGTGTGTGAGTGCACGTGCGTGAGTGCAGGTGTGTGAGTGCAGGTGCGTGAGTGTGGGTGCATGCATGCAGGCAGGTGAGTGCAGGCATGTGACTGCAGGTGTGTGAGCGCAGGCGTGTGAGCATCGGTATGCGTGTCCATGCACGCATGTAAAGATCAACGCCAGGCTGTAGAGAAGATTACGGTGAGGAGAAGATAACGGGGGGAGAGCAATCTCCAGGGAGGCGTGGGCTTTCTCTGCATGTTTAAAGCAGTTCCCACTGGAAACAGGAAAGGAACTTCCACTTTAGTTAGGAAAGCTTTTGAATAATATTTAGATAGTCCAAAAAATACACAAAGTTACATCTGATAATCTGCAGTTCCTAGAATGTCAGTACTGAGGAGTGCACAAGGTGGGCGTGGAAAAGGGAGCCGTGGATTTGCCCGTGGTGGGGAAGACTCTGTCCAGTTGGCCACAGAGGATTAGAAAGTCAGCCATCCGCTGCTGCCAGCGAGCACACAGAAAAACAAAAAACCAAATCCAAAGCCTGCCTCAGTGCTCAGAGGCCGACTCTGCAGCTCTCCTCCTGCCGCTTCTGCTTTCACTCCCTCGAACGGGTCCACGAAAGTAATTCCCAAACCCTCTTGCCTGTGACCCAAGGTGCTTTTTCACTTTGACTTTCTTTTCTCCCTCAAAGAAGCTGTTTTTCTTGCCAGCCCTGAGATGGGTTGAATAAATTGATCATAATTACACAGACTGCTTGGATGGATGGAAACCACAGGTGCCTCTACTCTCGAGCTCCCTGAGAGGGCTGTTAGGGCGGTTTTAATGAGTCCCAAGGCACGTGCCTCTGTTTCTGCCCGTTGAGCTGCTAAACTGGCATCAAAAAGTTAACTCTGAGGCAGGAACCACGATGTGTTAACTGCTGGCCTCGAGGGCGACTTGATTTATCTTCGGGCTTATTTAAAAAGCGGTGATTATTGCCTGTTTCTGATCCTGAAGGTAATATGCACGCATGTAGTGAGTACATGTGGAAACTGTATTCCAATGGAACTCTTAATGAGATGTTTGAATAGAACTTGTTAAGGGAAAGTCCAGAAGAGAAAATGCACACACTCAAACCCAGAAACAATAAAAAGAAGGAACAGTCAGAAATAAATGCTCTAAAATACAGAAAAAAGGATAATGGAGAATACATGGCTTCCATATCCCACCACACAGAGATGATTTTATAATTTTGGGGTTTTCGGTTTGTTTGAGAGGGTCTTACTCTGTCACCCAGGCTGGAGTGCAGTGCTGCGATCACAGCTCACTGCAGCCTTAACCTCCTGGGTTCAAGCAATCCTCCTGCCTTGGCCTCCTGAGTAGCTGGGATTATGGTGTGCACCACTGCACCTGGCTCACTTTTGTGTTTTTTATAGAGACGGAGTTTTGTCATGTTGCCCAGGCTGGTCTTGAACTCCTGAGCTCAAGCGATCCTCCCACCTTGGCCTCCCAGTGAAAAGTGCTGGGATAACAGGAGTGAGGCACTGTGCCCAGCGTAGATGTTTATGTAGTGCATGTCCTTATATTTTTCAGGTGTGTGCATGTATACATATATACACATACACATTACACGTGTACATGCACATAATCACATACATATATTTTAAGATGCAGAAAAACTGGGGTAGACATTGAAGAGATTTAAACATGGGCTTGGCATGATCTAAATTCTGGCAGTTAGTGTGGAGACAGATACTGGGGCAGCCCCTGGTGGCAGGGACCAGTCGGCAGGTCACCCAGGACTTGATCCCGGACACCCAGGCATGGGATGATTGTGTCCTGAGTTAAGGCAAGTGCTGTTCAAGCAGAAGAAACGTTTGAGAAGCACGTGTTTTGAGATGGATTGTCTGCTGCGGATAGTGGTGAAAAAGAAAAAAGCAAACAGGTGGCTTTGGGGTTCCCCTAACAGGAAACCCAAGATGAGGAGCTGCTGGGGAGGGGAAATTAAATGCTCATTTAATTTAACACGTGGGATGTCCAGAGGCGTGAGTGGAATACCTGGAGAGGGCTCTGGAATAGACACCTGACTTGGCCATCACGTCTTTTCTTTTTTCTTTTTTTTTTTTTTAAGACAGAGTTTCGCTCGTTACCCAGGCTGGAGTGCTACGGCGCCATCTAGGCTCACCGCAACCTCCGCCTCCTGGGTTCAGGCAATTCTCCTCCCTCAGCCTCCTGAGTAGCTGGGATTACAGGCACGCGCCACCATGCCCAGCTAATTTTTTGTAGTTTTAGTAGAGACGGGGTTTCACCATGTTGACCAGGATGGTCTGGATCTCTTGACCTCGTGATTCACCCACCTCGGCCTCCAAAAGTGCTGGGATTACAGGCGTGAGCCACCGCGCCCGGCCTGGCCATCACTTTTAGGGGGGCTAGATAGCCCCTCAAAAGCTGAGAGAATGTGGAGAGATGCGCTGCATGTCAGTCTTAGGTCCGAGAGGGGCCAGTTTGCAGAATGAGTAATGGCAGGGGAGCAGGGAACCAGGGAACCAGGGAACCAGGGGCATCCCGAGTTCAGACAGAGGCAACGTGAATGGACACAAAAGGAGAGATTAGAGTGAGATTTAGAAGCTAGAATCCATGGAGCCAGCTGACTGCGAGGCAGGGGGAGATGAACCCAAGGGCTGATCTCCACATGCTCAAGAGATGTCAGGGGAGGATACGGAACAAACACTTGTCCCGAGGATATGACCCCAGCGTCCCTCCAGTACCAAACAGATCCCTGGTATGTGGGAACTAGATGCCCGCTGTTGTGACCTGGCTGAAGAGCTGGCCCCCTTTCGCACCTGGCTCTCGCCTCCCACCCCTGCACCATCTTCTTAGACACACGCACAGGGGGCTCGGCAAGCCTTTCGAAGGTTCCCGGGGCTCAGCTCCCACCTGCCTCGAATTACTATCCCGGGGCGGTAAGGGGGTGTGGCTTCAGCACAATGAACCTTATCTTTTCTGTGAGCCTTTTTCAGGCCACCTATAGAGTCTTCCATAAATACTGAGCACTGACTATGATTAGGTCTCCTGTGGGCACGAGGGATGCCGAGAGGAATTGGAGACCTTGTCCCTGAAGGTCTCACCTTCCAGTGTGGGGGTGACAGACAGACACACTTGCTGTGGTTTGTGAAGACGATCACAATACTCTCCCATCTGATCTGTTCAAACATGTCGGGCCCTCCTCTAGAGGTGGAGCTGGATTTCCTTCCCCTTATGTCTGGGCAGGGCTGTGACTCACTTGTCTCCAATAGAAAGTGGCCGAAGGGACACTGCATGACTCCTGGGGCTAGGCCAGAAAAGGCGATACAACCTACTCCCTGTTTGCACAGACGGCCTCAGTTCCTCTCAGCTGTCCCATTGTCTGGAGGCTGCCATGTTGTGAGGGAGCCCCAAGTAGCCCACTGCACATGGAGAGGTCCTGAGACAGCACGAGAAGAGAGAGGTGCTGGGTGGGCCCCCACTGCTCCAGTCGCCTGGAGATCCAGCTCTACTGAGCACGGAAGACACCCTGAGCCACAACCCAGCTGAGCCCACCACCATTTCCTGACCCACAGAGGTACTAAAAGCACTGCTGTGGTTCTGGGTCACTGAGTTTTGGGGTGATGTGTTACGGCTGCAGATAACTGAAACAGCACTGTGTCCTCCCACCCTGTACTTCACTATTTTATTCATTTTTTTTTTTTTAATAGAGATGAAGTCTCACCATGTTGCCCAGGCTGGTCTGAGCAACATGGCAGAACCATAAACTTCTGAGCTCAAGCAATCCACCAGCCCCGGCCGCCTGCCAAAGTGCCTGGATTACGGGTGCGAGCCACCGCGCCCGGCTCCACCCTGTAATTCTGATCTTTTCCTCTCCTCACCCGGACCCTCGTACCATTTCCCTGGGATCTCAGTTGCTAGAATTCCGTCAGCCTTTTCTTTGGGATTTGGTTCCTGTTCATGCCTCTCGTTTATCCTTTCTGTCCTCTCTGACCCTTTGTTTATGGGAAGCACTTTTGAAATCTATGAAGCTACTGGGGAGGCTGAGGTAGGAGAATTGCTTGAACCCGGGAGGCGGAGGTTGCTGTGAGCCTATATAGTTTCACTGCACTCCAGCCTGGGTGACAGAGCAAGACTCTGTCTCAGAAAAAAAAGAAAGAAAGAAAGAAAATGTTGGGAGCTTAAGTGACAGAGACAGGAATTAAGTCCAAAGCCTGGCTGATGGCCAAGTTGATGCTGTCTACAGGATATGGTACTGATCTCCCACTGGCAGCTTGAGGGCTGTGGCATTCCTAGAGCAGGCATCTAATTTGCCTTCATTAATCATGGAGGACTTCCTGAAGGAGGTGACATCTGAGCCGAGACCTTCCCCTAGCTCAGGCACATCTCTATCTTTCTCCTAAGAATAGCCCCCACTGGTGAATGAAACCTAATTTTCTTTAGAGAAAACCCTGTTATCTGTCCAGTATTCCCTGGAAGAGGCTGGATAACGCACAGACAGCTGCCTGACTTGAAAGTGTCTTTCAGAACTGGATCGGATCCATGAGCAAATTCTGAGAAAGAGAGAAAGAGAGGATCAAAATAAAACTGAAAAGTGCAGGGGAGAAAAAGAGACTTTTTCAGACTAATACCCTGTTCAGGACACAAAAAGCCATGATTGAAAGTAATTCCATGTGACCCGGCAATCCCATTACTGGGTACATATCCAAAGGACTATAAATCGTTCTACTGTAAGGACACATGCACACGAATGTTCATTGCAGCACTGTTTACAATAGCAAAGACCTGGAATCAACCCAAATGCCCATCGGTGATAGACTGGACTGGGAAAATGTGGCACATATACACCATGGAATATTATGCAGCCATCAAAAATGATGAGTTCGTGTCCTTTGTAGGGACATGGATGAACCTGGAAACCATCATTCTCAGCAAACTGACACAAGAACAGAAAATGAAATACCGCATGTTCTCACTCATAGGCGGGTGATGAACAATGAGAACACATGGACACAGGGAGGGGAGCACTACACTGGGGCCTGTTGGGGGGAATAGGGGAGGGACAGCGGTGGGGGGGAGCTGGGGAGGGATAGCCTGGAGAGAAATTCCAGATACAGGTGAAGGGGAGGAAGGCAGCAGAACACACTGCCACGTGTGTACCTATGCAACAATCTTGCATGTTCTGCACATGTACCCCAAAACCTAAAATGCAATTAAAAAAAAAAACCTTTACATTAAAAAAAAAGAAAAGAAAAAGAAAAAGAAAATTTCATATGTGCCATGAAGAGCTTAAATAACAATACAAGTCTTAAAGTTTGACTACCACAATTTCTCTTTATTTTTATTTATTGAGGTATAACTTCCATATAGTGAATGTACAATTCCTAAGGTTACAGTTTAATAAACTTTTACATGAGGCTAGATGGATAGATTCACATAACTGTGACCCAGATAAGGAGACAGAATATTTCCATTACCTCGGAAGTCTCCCTCTTGCCCCTCCGATCTGTGCCTACCCACAGGTAACCACTTTTCTAACTTGTCTCTTTTTTTTTTGAGATGAAGTCTCACTCCGTTGCCCAGGCTAGAGTGCAACCTCTGCCTCCCGCCCCCGCCGCCACCCCCCGGTTCAAGAGATCCTCCTGACTCAGCCTCCTGAGGAGCTGGGGTTACAGGCGCCTGTCACCATGATCAGTTCATTTTTGTAGTTTTAGTAGAGATGGGGGTTTCACCATGTTGGCCAGGTTGGTCTAGAACTCATGGCCTCAGGTGATCCCCCCGCCCCGGCCTCCCAAAGTGCTGGGATTACAGGCAGGAGCCACCGCGCCCGGCCCTGGTTTTCATTCAACATTAAATTTCTGAAAGTCATCCGTGCTGTTGTATGTGCCAATAGTTCATCCTTTTCATTGCTGTGCAATATTCCATGGCAGGAAGAGACCTCGATTTATTTATCCATTCTATTGTTGACAGACACTGGGATTATTTCCAGTGTT